CTTTATCAAATAGACTCATGTCCTCCCTTTCAATTTCCATGTTGATGAGCTAATGGTCGAAGATGATGAGTTTCCTTTGTAGATAGCAGCCCCACCGTGGCCGAATCATAAGTAATGCAAATAAAATCAGTGAAATAAATAAACAAAAAGTTCAAATTATGAAGGGCCCGTTTGATAACAATTATATTTTGAATTATATATTAGAAAACTTTTATCAATCAACTTCAATACTTAATAACTTGTTTTAGTGGTATATGCTAAATTTTATCTTTTATTTTTATTTATATATTTATTTGAATTTATGCTAAATTTTATCTTTTAAGAAACGGCTAAATATATAATTTTAATTTAGGTCTTATAAAGTTATATTATATATATGTTTCCCGGACGATGCTGCAAGGTCAGTACTCRGTAGACGACGGAAACACATGTAAAGTTGTTCTTACCCTTCGAACATCTACTTATTTACATAATCTACCACATACCTCTGGAACATCAGAGGCCTATTTTGGGAAATCCACGCAAAAAATACATAGCCGACGCCGCTCTCAAACCAAGTCTCGGGGCCAGTCCCAGTCGTCGGACGGAAGTCAGTGTTGCGTTTGTGAATCACTATGAACTCTGCAATCGTTCTCGGCCCGCCGGCGTGCTGCCGTCGATTCTCAGGTCGCCGGAGCCCTAAGCCGATCAAGCCTGAACCACCTCAGTTCAAATTGCCTTCAAGTTCTCTCAAATTGCAAGGTTTTGGACTTCGTAATGATTCGTCACTGCTTTCTAGCTCTGTTCTATCTTCTCGAATCAAGGTTTCGTCGAATGATGCTCAGTTCGGTTCGTTTGCTGAGGATAAGGAGGTCGAGGCGCCGAGTTTCTTCGAGTTTATCACGTCCGAGAGGGTTAAAGTAGTGGCTATGCTTGGCTTGGCTCTCGCGCTTTGTAATGCCGATCGGGTTGTGATGTCGGTAGCAATCGTTCCTTTGTCTCTATCTCATGGTTGGAGCCGATCGTTTGCCGGCATAGTTCAGGTAGCTGTGTTTCTCGTTAATTGTTTTTGTTCATGAATAAATTGCTGGTTTTCTTTCTCTTTTTTTCGTTTCTGCAAGATAGTTCACTGGAAKCTTAAATTCATCATTTCTGCGATTTTTGGGCTTTGCCTGTGTAAGATAGTATGATATGAATTGAAGTAAATAGTGATTTTCTTGCGTATTTCTCTATCTATTTATGATTCTTAGTAAAATATTTATGACAATTTCACAGCCGTTAGCTGATCGATCTTCTACACTCGAGCAATTTTTAATATCTGTGATATGATATTCATCTTTTCTTCGATTTTTGGGTTCTACGGGCAGGTGTAAGGTAATATGATATAGAATTGAAGCAAATAGTGATTTTCTTGCACCTTTTTCTATCAATTTATGCTTATTGGTAAAAGATTTATGACAATTTCCAGCCGTTGCGAACTAACCATTAACTGATCGATCTCTTACATGAGAGCGATTTTTAATATCGATATCTTTGCTAGAAGCTTGAGATTTTTTACTCTTCTACGTTTGTCTTTAGGGCTGCTGTCACTTATGATCTTTACGGTGAGCATCATAACTCATAAGTGTTTGAATATAACACTATTATCAGTTATCACTTGCAATTATCTAAAGGTTGGGCCTGTTGCAGTCATCGTTCCTTTGGGGCTATTTCGTATCTCCAATAGCCGGTGGAGCTCTGGTGGACCACCATGGTGGCAAGATGGTCATGGCATGGGGGGTGGCTTTGTGGTCACTGGCCACGTTTCTGACTCCTTGGGCTGCTGAGACTTCGTTATGGGCACTTCTTGCCATGCGTGCCTTGCTTGGCATTGCTGAAGGCGTGGCCCTTCCTTGTATGAACAACATGGTTGCTAGGTATTAATGATTCCAAACTTTCTACTTCATTCAGAATAACAATTGAGTCAAGGTCAACATTCAACAATGAATCATTTGAATGTTAGCTTCATCATTTGCAATTGTTGAGTTGTTGGGGGTGGAAAGGTCCAAGAATGTTGGGGTTGGAAAGGTCCAAGAATGTTTGGGATTTGGTTAGATTTAACACCTCTTTATGTGTGTCAGTTTCTGTAATGGGCCCCTTCTTGTAGGCGGATCTCCTTTTGGTGTCAGTTTCTGTAATGGGCAATCCCCTTTTGGTGGGCTTGTTTTTATATGCCCTTCTATATTCTTTCATGTTTCTCCATGAAAGCTCAGTTTCTTATCAATAGAATAACTGAAGACCAAATTATTCAATTCATCATTTAGAATAACTCCTTTATTTCTGTTGTAGATGGTTTCCTCCAACAGAACGAGCCAGGGCTGTCGGTATAGCAATGGCTGGATTTCAGTTAGGAAGTGCAATAGGACTCATGCTTTCTCCAATCCTAATGTCTCAAGCTGGTATATTTGGACCTTTTGTCATTTTTGGGCTGTCAGGGTTTTTATGGGTCTTGGTATGGTTATCTGCAATATCCAGTACTCCTGACCGGAATCTTCAGATATCCAAATATGAAATGGAGTATGTAATGAACAAGAGGCAACAACCTTTAATGGTGGAGAATGCATCTAGGACAACAACTGTGATTCCTCCTTTTAAGCGTCTGCTTTCTAAAATGCCAACATGGTCCCTTATCGTTGCAAATGCTATGCATAGTTGGGTACTGCTCAAACTTTTTTTTTTCTTTCCATTTGATTCATAGGATCTTGTCCGGTGTGCTTTTTTACTGAAATTGTTGATGGATCTGATCACCAAATTTGTCTGCGGCTTCTTTACGAAGAGAGATAAATCAATCTTACTTAGATGCCTCTTTTTTCTTTTACTGCCTACACTCTTACCTGCAGAGAGTAAACTTATGCCACCCCGACCAGCAGAGAGTAAACTTATGCCACCTCCCTACACTTTGTGATCTTCAAAGAAGTTCACTGTGTTATGCAATGGAATGTTTACTAGTGGAGAAGTAAATTTGGGTGCTACTTTTATTTTAATGCCGTTTCTTTTCCTGTAGGGTTTCTTTGTGATTCTTTCATGGATGCCCATCTACTTCAACTCAGTGAGTAGCACTTAGCTAATTTGTTTAAGTTCTGCATGTTAAATTCTTTGTGAATTTCTTGAACGATGGGATGTTTTTTCTGATACAGGTGTATCATGTTGACCTCAGACAAGCAGCGTGGTTTAGTGCTGTTCCATGGTGTGTGATGGCACTGATGGGATATTTTGGTGGACTATGGTCTGATGGGTTAATACGAAGTGGTACAACTATCACTTTGACTCGAAAAATTATGCAGGTGAACATTGCTCTATTTCTATATAAGTAACTTTCTTTGAATTCTAGCCTAGCAGTCTGTTTATTGTGTTTACTGTTTCTCTAGGTTATGTTTTCAGAAAGAAACTGAAAAGAGTTTCAGTAACAAATGAAACATTTAACAAAGAATTGGGAATAGTGTACATCAGCAGCACTACTCTGGTTTGCTAACTTTGAGTTATACAATGTTTAATGTTTCTATATTTTTTAACTGCTAATCATTTAGGATATACTTAAGGTATGTTTGACATACCTTCTAATTTAATCTCTTGAAAAAAATATATATTTTTCTTAAAACACTATCTATAAAATATCTTTTCTTAAAACACTATCTATAAAATATCTTTTCTTAAAACACTTAAATTGGAACCATCATGGGATGGTCCAAGGGGCCAATGTAAATAGCAAAAGACTTAGAAGGAATGAGTTCAAACCTTGGTGGCCACCTACCTAAGATTTGATATCCTACGAGTTTCTTTGTCAACCAAATGTAGTAGGATTAGGCGGTTGGCCCGTGAATAGTCGAGATGCATGTAAGTTGGCCCGGATACATGGATATCAAAAAAAAAAAAAACACTTAAATTGGGGAAAGTGATTCTACAAATGCAAATTACCATAAAGTAATTCTAAAATGATTCCCGATCATCATATTATAGTTATTTTATGGAAAATCAACTTTAAAGTGTTTCGACCAACTAAAAACACACCCTTAATAGAGTCTTAGATGCATTTTGATAGCTACTTGTTATTTTGTCACACAAATTATTGCAACACTTCACTATCTCAATTTTCTCAATAAGTTCCACTATGCGAAATAAGAAATGTAAGATTATCAACCCTTTTTTTCTTTGCAAAGTAATGTGAGATTTTCTCTATTTTGTGATAATAGAACTTTAGACTTGTCAGATACATAAATCAGATTTCATGGTTTTTTCCCCTCTTTGAGTTTAACATATCTCTAGGATTAGCAAAAGACTTAATGCTAACAGACTTAACCTACCTCCCTGATGGTCCAAATAACAAGTTTGTTATGACACATGGATCTGAAGACAAATTTTACTATTAGCTCGATAAAATATTTACCCTCCCCCGCCAGGCATGGAAATTTGTTGGCCAGGTTTTGGTATACTGGATGTTAGTATYGATTTTAGTTGATTGTGGAAAATAGTTGCTTGTTATATAATGCTGTAAACTTGTAAAGTGTGAAAGTATTCTAATGCAACAATTTGGAACCTGAAATATACTGTTTAGTAGTAGATTCTCTTCTGTTTTCCTCAGCCTGTCTCTATGTTGCCTCCCCTTCCCCTCCCCACTTCTCCATTTGTCCTCAATTACCTCTTTTTTTTTCAGGAACTAAAAAATTCTTCAATTCCTTTTTCTTTTCAGTCAATAGGTTTTATTGGCCCTGGGATTGCTCTGATTGGCCTCGCTTCAGCTAAGAGTGCATCAATTGCATCCGCATGGCTGACTTTGGCAGTTGGACTGAAATCTTTCAGCCACTCGGGTTTCCTTGTGAACCTTCAGGTCGGTGGCACTGAACAATCTAATCAACTTCCAATTCTTGCACTTTTAAAATTTTCTTTCTTATCTCTGCTTTACAGGAGATTGCTCCACAATACTCTGGTGTGCTTCATGGTACGTTATCATTTTAACTATCTTCTTCAACCATTGGATGCACTTTTACGTCATTTTTGTCCGTTTTTCATAGTTTTTCGAACCAATGCTTTTAACTGGTCAAAAGTACTTYCACTACACATTTTTAAAGAACACTTTAGTCATCCATAAGCACTTGGAAAAGACATGACACTAAAAGCGACAACCCCACAAGACAACCAAGCAATTCTGCATTGAACTGATAATTTGATCGTCTATTGTTCTTTCTAAACAACTGCTTTGTTTATCGAGTTGAGACGAAATTCTGTATGTTTTKTTCAGGGATGTCTAACACTGCTGGGACACTCGCTGCTATCGTGGGGACAGTTGGGGTTGGTTTCTTCGTGGAAATTGTGGGCTCTTTCCAAGGATTTCTGTTGCTTACCTCTTTCCTATACTTTATGGCTGCGCTTTTCTACATCCTCTTTTCAACGGGCAACAGGGTAAATTTTGAAGAAACTGGTTAGYATCCTCAGTTTCGGTTTTTACATGTATAGCTCATCTTTTTCTTTCGTTGGAGACGAAGAGTCGTCTTATTTTGCAGACAAGTGCATGCTGTAAACCATACCAGTGCTTCATCCACAAATTTTTTGTCGGTAGAACGGGAAACCCGATTCTCTTTTGATTTGAGAAGTTTAGTTTTGTGAAGATATGTTATACCCTTACAGTCAACTTTTTCCACGGAAGTAAAATATCACAGAACTCACTTTCATCTCAGCAAATGACTCTGCCGGAGATCGACCCCATTATGCCAAATACTCRGTTATGCTGAGGAGACTAGAGAATCAAAGAGCCAACCAAAGTCTGTTCTGAATGTTCAATCCAAATTAAAAGTTGGAAAATGCATTTAACCGAAATTTTTCTATTTATTGTGTTCTTTCAAAGCAAATCAGATCTTCACTCGTTTGATACTACAGTTGTTTCTTTGTTAAAAAAAAACTATATTAAATTAACAATAAGACCTTGTTTACCTATCAGAAATTGAAATGAGRATGAAAATGGATCGTAATGGGAATACTATTCCTTTGATGTTGTTTACGAAAATTTTTCTGARATCAGAATTAGAATTTCTTTGATATTGTTTACTAAAACTGTCTRAAATCGAAATTGGAATTAGACATWCGAAAAATTTTCTAAAATCGGAATTAAAATTTCTTCGATGTTTACTATAASTCTGGAATCGGAATCAAACAAACCATTACCAGTATAMTTCTCTTTACTAGTATAATTCTCTTTTCTTTAAACAATGATTACTAGTATACTCCTCTTTTCTCTTTAGTTATATTACAATATTGTTGTGCTAATTTTTTTTTAATCACAATAATAATTAAATTTTAATTAATTTTATTACTATATTATTGCAACAATTTATTTATTATTAATAAATAATGAATAATTAAAATAAAAGAAAATTGTGATGAGTGGTGAGTGGCAAAAATCTTTTACGGTTTTATATAGTCAGATATATTATAAATTTATATCATTTAGGTAATGTTGTCATTTATGTAATAGCCAATGTTGTCATTTATGTTCTCAAATATATTCCAATTCATTCTCAAATGAAATGAAAAAATTAATTTTCATTGCTYCATTCCTAGACATGGCCTACCAGGAATCGGAATGAAAATAATATTATTTCTTTGATGTTATTTACTATAAATTTTYTGAAATCGAAATTTCTATGAGGTTGTTTACTAAAACAATCTATAATTTAAATCTATAACAATTACTATTATATCATTACTTATTTCTAACTAATTTGTGCTAATAGTTTTTTAATTACAATAATAATAAATTTTAATTTATTATATTACTATATATKGATAATAAATCCTTTTTCTTATAACAATTTATTTAATATTAATAATAATAAATAATTTAAATAGAATTACATCAACTAAAATAATAAAAAGCAACTATCATATAATATAAACTTTTATTAAATTTTATTATTTTAATATATAATTCCATTTTAAAAGATCCATTGATATTAATTAATAATAACAAAGTAAAAAAATTAAAAATTAAATATAAATTTATAATATTTTATAATAAAATCATACCCACCCTTTGATTAGAAGAAAAATATTAGTAAAAATGAAAAATAAATATTTTATAAAAGAATCATTAAAAAAATTATGGATCTGAATAAAGAAAAAGGATAAAAATAATAAAGTTCTAATGAAGAAGAGAAATGAGATAGTCATTCCTAAATTTGAGATGGATCCCAAAATTTGATTCAATTTCAACACCATCAAGGGAAACAAGATACAGGAACCTAATATGGAATTTTTCTAGAAACGCAGATAAGAGTAAATTGGCATAAAGTTCTAGACTAGAATTTCAGCAATTTCACATAAATTTTTTTCCGTTGAAGGATGAAACGTGATTAATCATTAAACATGATTTTAGATGGCATCCCTTCGCTTCCCATGGCTCATCAATTTAAGAAACAACCCTCTGCAGTACATACAAGTCTAAGTTCACCACATAGTTTTGCATTGTCGTCCAGAATATAGTGATCAATTGCAATTGATCGATTCCCATTGTAAGTACAGACCAGTGAAGTTGATCGATCAAGCAGGACTAACAGATCTTGAAACCACACTTCGACTTCGTGACCTACTCSCCCCAGAATACTCTCTCTTACCTGAGTTCTCATAAACCTTGTGGCTATGTCGTCTGAAGGTATGGCTGCGAGAGCGAGAGCGAGAGCGACTCCTTGAGCTCCTTCCTTCCAAATAGCTCCCTGATCTCTTGCTTCGTTCAGGAGAAACACTACGAGAATAACTTCTCAGTTCTAGGGATGGGCTGCGAGAGTAAATCCTAACAGAGGATGGGCTGCGGGAGTAACTCCTCAAAGTTCTCCTAGGCCTGGGAGAATAACTGCGGGAATAACCCCTACCAGAAATCCTTGCCTTTGGGGAAACACTCCTCGAAACTGACCGATATCTGTGCCTTCTGTAGTAACAATCATCACGGGAATAATAGTCGTAGTAAGATGAGTACGACCTGTCATGTCGCCTGGTAGGTGACCTACAATAGGGAGAGCGAGATCCAGATCGAGAATATGACCTATGGCACCTATAATATGGAGAATCATATCTACGCCGACTATAAGGGGAGTACGATCTATGGTGATATGGAGAACCATATGATCTTCGATGGCGGTAGGGAGAATGAGATCTGCTCCTGCTACGTTCAGATGAATAACGAGACGAGCGACTCGAGCTCCTTCTATAAGGAGAGTAACTGGGGGAATGCCGAGGAGAGTAGCTGTGTGATCTGCGTCTCACTATAAGAAAAAAGAAAAGGATCAGAGAAATTTCAAGATATTTCCCAGCGATAAACCAAAAATCAATTGAAAGCTCACCACGAACTGTTCTAAGTCCAAGATATCTCCCTGGAGTTGGAGTTCTTCCTCTCCGCCTCCGTGCCTGTTGGAAAATTAAAGATAAAAAGAATGAGACAATTCAATTGACTATCCAAGGAGGATTACCGCTACCGGCAGGGGAGGAAATCGCAGTTCAGGGTCCAAATTAAAAAACATAATGCTAAAAAATGAAAAGAAATAACACAGGATTCAATTGCCAGAAAAAGAGAAATGCAGGGCATACAACCCTGGTCTGAGACTTCATGTGTTTGTTTTGTTTGTTTAGTTGTAGTTTGAATTTGGTGAAGAGCTGCTACACACAGCTAACCTGCTGCCAAAAAAACTTCAAGCCCAAGGAAGCAAAAAATCTTATAGTTCAAATCTCATACAATAAACCATCCGAACTCCCATTAATATTTGGAGAAGAACAAGACAATAGTAACTAACAATGAAAAACAACTCGAATGTATGAAAAATACTTGGTTTAACTTTTTACCTTCTCCACAGTAATTATTCGACCCTCAAGCACAGAGCGATTCAGATATTTGATGCAACGTTCAGCCTCCTCATTACTAGACATGGTAATGAATCCAAATCCACGAGATTCTCTGGTCCATGGATCAGCTACAAGATGAACATCTAACACCTAGAGAACAAAAAAGTTCATTTAATCCCCAGCAAAAAAATAATAATAATAATTACCAACACATACACCACCAGATCTTTTCACAAACTAAAAAAATAGTCTATAAATCTAATCACCAGAAAAAGATTTTACAAACACATACACCACCACCAGAAATACAAGCCATAAAAATTGCCTTAAAAGAAAATAAGCAAACCATGACGTACTGTTCCCTCAGCGGAAAAATGCTTCTCAAGTTCTCTTCTTGTCATTCTAGGTGACAGACCAGTGACGTACAAATTGTTGCCAGGATTTTCAACGTCGCTTGAAGGACTCCTGAAAACAAATTAAGAATCCACAAAATAAATATAAATACACCATGTACAAATGATCTAGAGAAGATAGGAAAAATCGAGCAAGCAGATGATTCCCGAGCAAAAAGTACCTCGAACGGCTCCTCGACCTTGACAGGGATCTTGAAAGCGATCGTTCGTAAGAAGGAGAGCGGGAATACCTTGACTTTCTAGAGTACGACATCTGCGACAAGATCAGACAAAACAAAACTAAATATGAACAGCTTTGTTGAGTATATGAATGTCATCTCATATCGAACAGTCAGTAAATCCGAACCTTCAATTGAATATTCATCGGAACACGGACAAAAAAAGAAATAGAACATTCATGACTTCAAATGGTTAGAGATATAATAGATACTCCGATGAGATAATAATTTAACCCAAAATTTCCATGAAGAATGCAGAAAATACTCCATCAGCATCCCACAAACATGCTAATCACAGAAAAAATAAATTGAAGTAATAACCGGAACCTAATTCTTCAACTAAACATCATTGAAAGCAAAATCAAATGCGCATATAGATCAGAATCCCAACATATCGTTTCAAATAAGGAAAAGACGTGTAAAATTCATCAAATCAGAGAGAGAGAGAGAGAGAGAGAACTAACCATATAAATCAGCGAAGGCCAAACCTAAATCGAAGCTGAAGGTAATCGAGTGTTCTTCCTACTCGATCACGAACGGAAATTCACGGCAACAATCGCTCGTTCTCGCATAAAAACGCAATACCCATCAAAAGAAGATTTGCGTGGGAAAGCCGAAAGCGTTATATATATACCCCCACGAGGCGATGGAAGCTTCTGGAGCATCGGACGCCAAATCACAATAAAACTTAATTTTAAAATTTTCGTTTCCGTTTCCAAGGAGTTCTTTAAACTGTGCAGTTAGATCGTGTTGTCATCGGCCACGTGTCAGAATGTGATCTTCAGACGGGAGAAATGATCCAACGTGTGGAAAACGGAAGATTATATTTATCAGATCTACAAAAAAAAAGCCTCGATATGAACCAGAAAAAAAAATGTAAATTGTAAAATGGCACTTCGAGTAAAATAAAAATTTTGTTTTGAAAAAACTTGGCTCGTTATAGTTCGGGGAACTTCTTACTTAATATCATTAAATTAAATATTTGATAACTCATTATTTCAAAAAAAAATTATTTTTACATTTTTTCTTTTAGTTGTCAAATATTTAATGACTTTAATTTTAAGAGCCAAACTTTTTCTTTTTTGATTTTTTTAAATAAATAAAAATAGAAAATAGAATTATTGGGTGGAAAAAATTGTTATATTTTAATATAATATCTTCTAGAAAATTTACTCATTTTTAACTTCTATGATAAATAAATATATATATATATATATATCTCTTTTTTATATTAGTGATTATTTGGGTCAATACATTTCAACTAATCTCAGGGAATAGTTGTCTAACCCTATAATATTCGGGGTGAGAAAACACATATAAAAATCTATATTAATAATACAAGTTCATATATTAAATCCTTGTATTGATTATATTTGAATTTATTTCCTTTAAATTTTTTAAAGAATCTACCTGAGTTGGGTGAATCGAAAAGAATGTACCTTCTACACAACTACTTAACTAAAAAAAACAGTCAAAACGAGTATAATTTAACGGTAATTGGCATATACCTCAAATCGTGACGTAAAGAGGAATTAATATCCTCAATTAATAAATTCCACATGATCCAAGAATCACATCATAGGTTTGCTGTATTGAATCGGTTATTAACTTTTCCCTTTTAGTTTTATATTCTCAATAAATGTATTGGTTTAATAACCATATCCTTAGCTTAAGACACCTTATTCTTTCTCTAGAAGTCGAAGGTTCAAGCCCTCATTCTCGAATTTGTAAAACAAAAAATAAAACACTTTCAGATTGACTGAAAAAAGAAGATTTGGTATTGTAATGCATTGATGAATCAAACACTAGGATTCATTAAATTCACACTTTGAATGTTGAATACAATTGATAAAGCAAACCTCTTGAGTCTTTCCTCACCACTTCGTTAAAATGAACTACGAATATAATAGAGAGATTAGTCCAAATTGAGGCAGTTACATTACAAAACAACAAGGACAATTTACTGTCCAAATACTTCTGCTAGTGACTTATTGATTATCTACAAAATCTCTTGTGAAACACACACAAGTCAGTTCAAGGTTCATTGCTATTATCTACAACGAACAAAGGCTGGATCAATAAAGTTTAGGCAAGAGCCTTTAATCGTTATGAGTAATTCTCAAGTTGGTCATTGGCCCTTTAAAATTTTCAATTTTACCCTTAATGTCTTTGTTGAGATTCTCATGTCCATTCGGTAAAAATGACGGGTTCTTCGGCCTGTAATGCACTGACTGCACTTGTGTCCCAAAATGTGAAAACAAACTTCGCTCATATTGGCTACAGTCGTTGCAGAGAATTTGATACCTGTTTAACTCGGTAGTTGGTTAAGTTACAAGACTTGTAACATGCAGAGTGATAAAGAAGAGCAAATAGCAAATAGCAAATAGCTTGTGGTAATCTAAACATGTAAACAAGCAACTACCTCATGGTTATATTCCTCAGGCATCGGTGTGCAGTCAATCTATAGATAAGATGGGGAAATTTTAAGACTGTGTAGCAAAAAAAGATCTACGGTACAGTAAACATAATTCAGAAACCAAAGAAACTTTGGAATTTCGCAGCAGAATATGACAGAAGAAACATGTTAGAAATAGAATTTGTAAGTATTCAGAAATACCACTCGGTAACTACAAGTTTAGTATTCCATAGGATTAGTTTACCATAATACATCAACAATCTGGTGGTGTAGGTTAAAAATGCACATGCTCGCTGTAGCACCATTCTGATGGATTCAATTCCACCATGAGCATAAAAGTTGTCCCGAAGATCTTGCTCGGCRACTCGAGCATCTAGACCGCCCACATACAAGGTTCTAATRCTCTCATCCTCCGGAGGTTCTAGAGAAGGCATTTCTCCAGCCTTGTTAAGAAGCTTCAGTGCAACTGGATCATTAACCCTGAGGAATTAGAAAAGAAAGTAATCTCATGAGTAATACATCTGTGCACATTCCAATTAACAACAGATGTTACACGTTCAGAAACATGTATATGATAAATACAATTTGTAACATTCTTGCAGTATTGTTAATCATTCCAATTGCAGTATTGTTAATCCTTCAAATTTAACGATGGGGATTCCTTCCGGAAGGACGTTCATTTGATAAAAGGCACATGCAATCAAATGTGAGAATGAAATTTAGCTCAGTCATCCATTTCAGTTATATATTCGGCAGCTGAGCCCTTAAGATAATCCAGATCATATGGTTACTCGATGCAATGTAACATCTAACTGATTTTCTCAATGAAAGGATGATTTCTTTATAAATCCTACCAAACAAAAAGTACCAGACAAAAAGTGCATAGCAACTGTAGTCCTATACCTGCATACCTGAACAGAGACGTGCGTACCTCGTAATCTGAGACATCAATCTCTAGTACACAGAAAAACGAACTCCTATTTTGAACTAGGATTTTGCATTCCATCAGTTTAAACAAAGAGTCACCATAATGTGTATGTAAGTATCATACAATGTCGAGGCCTTCATGAAAGAGGGAATTTCCAGGAAAATGTTGAAGGTAAGAAATCCCCAAGCAAACAAAACCCTTGCATTCCCCAGGACAAGTGATACAAATACTATGCAATCACTATGTATTATTTATTTGATAAACAGATATATGTAATCTCAAATAATAGTAGAAATTAAAATTTAAACAATGATCAATTTTTAGGATATCTAAAAATTAGGTAATTATCTAAAACAATAATGAAGTTTCAAATGCTGCTATTTATGTAAATACAAGTTTCTGATCTAAAAACAATCAAGAAAATAATTGCAAATAACATGCTGTTGATAGAGAGACAATGGCAGTATTTCGGTCAATACAATTGTTTCTGATCTAAAAATAATCAAGAAAATGATTGTAAATAAAAGGTTGTTGATAGAGAAAGACAATAGTAGCCTGATGGAGGAAAAGGTGGTTCTATCCAGTATCAATTGAAAGAGGACTGCAGTTTTGTGTTCTAATTAAAGAGAAGAAATAAAAGTCGGAATTCAAAATGCCCTGCATGCATAAAATAGAGTGCAAAGCAACCTAACAACAAGAAAAGGTGCAGGAATTAAAGTAGCTAGCACTAAAAGTAGATTTTTTAACCAATGGCCACTTGTAGGTAAGAACGAATTATCCCAATTTTTTCAATACATAATTACTTTGGGAAAACTATACTTCATATGATATATAGCTATGTCTAAAATATGGAACCAAATGCAAGATGATGACTGTAAAAAAGATCATAGAGAAATGTGGGTGACAAAGATCAGACACACAATAGCTAATCATTCAAAGGGAATAAGCCAACCATACCCATAATATCGATCCTTTATATTTTGTTGGGACAGCTCTCCAGTTTCAGGCATCTCATGTCTGTAAGGGCATTCAGAACCTCTAGTGCATTCACCCCTAATATAGAAACTACAAACATGTGCACGGTTCCTCTTGTAATACGGTGTAGTTCTTTGAAGCTTCAAATAGTATCATTTGGCCGTGCCTTACCAAATGGGACTCATAATCTATACCAGATCTAGCCTGCATGGTCAATATTAAACCAAATTAGCATAAAGCAAGTAAGAAACAGCATAGCTGGAAAGACCTGCTAAGCGATCAAACTGGAAGTTTATAATTACTTGAATCTTCATGAAATTTAATTCATTGTATATGTAGAACTTGTGAAATATTTTACCATTTCTCTCAAGTTATCTCTTATTCAAATTAATAAAATCACATCTCTCCTATTAGAGAGAGTTAATATTTCTTTGTTCAAATTTTCATCCTCCACCCTTCAAAGAAATTAAAATCTCATTCTTTCAAATGGACATGCTTCATTATATTAAAATTTAAAATTAATTAGACGTGAAAACAAAAGTGAGAGGAAAACAATATTCCATTCATACATTTATAGAACCATGTAGGTCGACGTCAAAATGGAATACTGTCTGACCACAAACAATAACATAAAACTAGTTTATAACAAAACATCAAGATAGTTGAATAGCATACCACATTTTTCACAGTGAAAGAAATTCTCCCGACCACAAACTCTGAAATTTGTATAACAAAAAAACTTGTCTTGAGAAACTTAACACAGACAGCTGAATTGCATAAGAATACGCAAAAAGCACACTAACCTGCAGAACCACATGCATCAAAATGAAACTTCTTCTTCCTGGTCTGCATTCATAACAGATACTATTAGTATATAGGATAAAAAATCACAAAGACATAGAGAGGAGAGAAAAAATACCATGGCCTCGTTGTGGCAATGGCGACAGGTAAATGTTATGGTTTCTGCTTTATGATTTCTCATTTCCAAGGATTCAATGCTATTGGTGGCAAACGAATCCTAAATTCGAATGTTTCTTTTTCATTGTCCTTTTTCAGTCCTTGTCCACATAATTACTTCTGCTACCCATTTAGTCGCCCAAGCCAGAATCTTCAACATTTCGTTTCAATCGCTTACCAGAAATCACCACAGGAGCAAAGTCCATCTTTGAAGTGATGGTAACGATTAACATCTCTAATAGTTATTTCCCTTCCCATAATTTTCGATATGAACTTGATTGCCACATGACAGTCCTCACAAACTCGAAGATTCTTGGTAATCAAGAGCCTGGTTCCTGCAGCTGTGCTGATGAGTCCAAAGGCAATGGCTAGTCTTTCACTGTGGCTGCACACCATATCAACCTTTTCATCATCCTCTACATCATGGAAAACTGAACTGGTCTGTGGTGCATAGCCAGCTTCCTTCATTAACTTCCCTATCCTCTTTAACTCTGCATAGATTGCTTCAAACTTGGGATGGGAAGTATCTTCTGACAAGAAGGCATGAACTTTGTTTTTCACTTCTATCCAACTACAAGCAATGCTTTTCTTCAACCCCCTATCCATCATGAGATCTCTCATCCTTGCAACTCCTTCCCATTTACCTGCTTGGGCATACATGTTCGATAGAATTACAAAATTCCCACCATCATCAGGTTCGAGCTCGGATAGCTTCTCCAACGCAAGCTCACCCATCTCCACATTGCCATGGATTTTGCAGGAGTGAAGCAGGGCACCCCAGACACCAGCATCAGGCTCCACTCTCATTTCCATTATCAGATTGTAAGCTTCTTCCAAGTGACCACAATGGCCAAGTAGGTCAATCATACAAGTGTAATGCTGAACAGTAGGATCTATAAGGCAATCAATCACCATGGATCTGAAATACATCTTCCCTTCATCGAGCAACCCTCCATGGCTGCAAGCTGCTAGAACGCCAACAAAAGTTATATAATCAGGCATAGCTTTCTTCTTCATTTCTTCAAACAAGTCCAGAGCTTCAGTAGCATGACCATGCATTGCATACCCAGTAATCATGGTGTTCCAAGAGACTACCCTCTTCTTGTTCAGCATCTCGAACAGACTTCTAGCAACCTTTACAAAGCCGCTCTTGGCATACATATCTACCAAAGCGGTTTTTACCTTGTCATTTAACCCAAATCCATGTCTCCAACTGTACCCGTGAAGCTCTTTTCCTTGAGGAAGAGTTGCACTATCAGCAGAAGCTGAGATGGAGATGACAAGTGTCCCCTCGGTGGGTTTCACTTCTGCAAACGCCATTTCTCCACAGAGAGATAGGGAATCACCTGGTTGCCCATTCTGTGAATAAGCTGCGAGCATCGAGTTCCAACACACCGCATCTCTCTCAATAATTTTATCAAACACCTGGCGAGCACTTTCCACACAGCCACACTTCGCATACATATCAATTAGGGCCGCACCAACAAACACATCAGTCTCCAGCCCAGTGCGTATGACATGTTGGTGAATCTTCTTTCCCTCTTCCATGACAGAAAGAGCCGAGCAAGCCTTTAAGACAAATGGGAAGGTGAATTTATCTGGGGCAAACCCATGATCTTGCATTTGATAGTAAAGTGAAATTGCAGCCTCATACGGCCCATTCCATGCATAACCTCGTATCATAACATTCCAGAGAAACAAATTTCGTTTGGAAATTCTATCAAATAGGAGATGGGCATTCGTCAAAGAGTTGCAGGCACCATAAAGACTAACCAGTTTGGTAGCCAATAGAGGGTTGAATCCAAGACCCACTTGGAATATACGTGCATGAAGCTGTTTTCCAGGCTCTATCGCCTTCTGGACAATGCAAGATTGGAGGAGAGAAGCATAGTAAGAAGTCGACGCCTGCTTGAAAGCAGGCTCGAGAGCTGGTCTTGACGATGGGGAGTAGAAATGGGACAACTGAGATGAAGAAGATGAAGTGCAGAACACAGATTTTGAGAGAAACGAGCACGGAGAAATTCTCTTTGGGTGCAACACAAGGTGGAGATGCATTCGACCTGTAGATTCTTACATATATACAAAATAAATTTTGAGAGAGATGGATCGTGGAACCGGAACGGTAAAATGAGAAAAAAACAAAAGGAAATTTAAAAACGTCGCCGCTGCCGCCGAGAGAAAGACAGTGGGAAGAATGTGGGATTAAGAGAAAGAGAGGTTGAGAAATGGTGAAGGGAGGAGATAGAAAGAGGGTTTTAGCCACAACAGGATCCACGAAAGAAAAATGAAAAATCAGAACGTAAAGGGAGCGGAGAACCGATTTGGAGAAGATTGATTTCAGAAGATGAAAATTGAAGGAGAAGAAACCGATTTGAAGATAAAAATTGGAAAGGAAGAAACAGAAATTAAGGCGAAGATGACAACTCTGTACTACAATAAAATCTCCATCCCCAAAATCAAGATCTCTTTTGTTTAACCTTACGAAATATACACATAGATATCTAAAAATAAATAAATTAAAGAACGAAAAGCATTGGACCGGGCGCGAACCTCGAGCTCATCGAGTTCTTGGATTTGGCTTCTTCTTTATCTGCCGCCGGGCATTGCTCAGCGTTTTCACGCAGGGCAGGAGGAGTTGATGGAGGCACCAATGTTAAGGAAGGGAGGGAAGAAGAAGCTCTCGTCTGCATTCAGATAAGGAAGATATCACGTTCATAATCAGCTCTCGTCTGCATTCAGATATCACGTCCAATTAATCAGAGTTACGTCTAAATCATATAGTAAGCCGTGAATTGCAAAAGAGCACAACTCCAGCTACCATCATCATCCATTACACTCCCACATATTTCATACATGTCAACATATAAAATTCATAAACAGTCAACAGAAACCATCTGGGTGGGTGTTCAAACAGAAGGACTTATTCGAAAATTTATGTGCCTAATTCAAGAACGGGATCGAAGTATCTCGCGGGGTTGGGGGTAGTTAAATAAGATAAATAATGAACGCACCATGCGAACGTAGGGGTTATCACCGAGGCAAGATTCGCAGATGATGGGGAAATCAGAGCGTTCCCACCCATCAGCTTCCAGATCCCTCAGCAACAGATTCGCCATGGAAATCTCCAAATCACGCCGAAATGGAGAGACCTAGCAGATGATTTCGGTTTGTAGAGTTAATTTGTTGCTGAAGGTGAGGGGGCATGCTGATCTGCTGCTACCATGGGAGAACCGAGAGTGGGGCGGAGATGGAAGGCGAGAGATTTTAGACGAACGCAAGAAGAAACTAGGGATTAGAGGAACGCCGTATGACTGCTAGAGCTTCTTCGTTTTGTAAACATAGAGTATAAACCGAATCCAATATTTTTTCAGGTGTACAAAATCTTCAATATAATCCGACCAAATCGTCCGGTTTCGGTTGTTTGTTTACCGGTTTTTAATCACCGTTGCCTCGTTGAATACGGGTCAGTGGAAACCGGGTTTGATTACTTTATTTGGATCCAGCTACATTTTTAATTATAAATAAATTTTTTTGGTGAAATACATTTTTTATCATTGAGTTGGATGATAGGTTCCTATTTGATCCATTAATTTTAAAAAGTGACCTAGGCTCTGATCTTTAGAAAATAGTTTTGAAAGGTTCCCGAGTCAAGAAAGCAATTAACGGAAAAGAAAGTAATTTAAGAAGTGTTTTTTATTTGATTTCTTTGTGTTCACAGCTCTCTCACCTTAAATATACCGGTGAGAGGACTAAAATTAGAAATAAAATAAATTATTCACCTTAAATATAGGGGTGAGAGAACTAAAATTAGAAATAAAATAAATTGAATAATTTGTATAATAGTAGTTACACAAATATTAACAATATCAATTTGAATTTTGAGAAGATTACGGGGTTGGTCCAAAACCAACTTGGTGAGCTTACTTGCACTTTATAACATCCGGCAAATAAGGGGGTGAGAAAAATAGCTCAAATTTGGAACGCAGATACGCAAATTGAGAGTTGGCAAGAGATTTGGTGAGGCCGTCAACGGCTTGATCAGAGAGATCATACCGAACATCAAGGTGGTTATTAAGGACCTAGTCACATACATAATGAATATTGATCTCAATGTGTTTGGTGTGCGCATGTACCATTGGTGACAACCTAAGGCACCAGCCCTGAGATTATCACACCAAAGTATCAGTGTAGTGGAAAGAGAGAAGTCAATCTCTTGAAAAAGTTGTCGAACCCAAGTGATTTCAACTGAGGCATGGGCCAGAGCCCGATATTCGAACTCAGTGCTGGACCGAGAAATATCATTATGCTTCTTCGAGGGTTAGGATATCAATGAAGCACCAAGGAAAACACAGTATGTAGTAATATACTTGCGATCGTCAATGCTAACGGCTCAATTAGGTTTTGTAGGTACTGCAGGTTTAGTTTGGAGAGTTTATCGTCAATATGTTTTGCTTGACTAAGTAAGAGACACATAGACAAGTGGTCAATTTGAATGTTGAGGAAGTAGCTAAGTTGATCTAGATACTTGAGGACAAATCGATTGTCTAGCATACAAATGAACTTATCAATGAATGTGATGTTATTTCCTACAAGAATAGTGTCATCAACATAGATAAGAAGGAGAATAATTGTATAGCGGTAGTAGAGAGAGGCATCAGATTTAGAGTGTTGGCAGCCCAAGATACAACACGTAGTTTAACTCATCATTTCATGCCCACGGTGCTTGTTTGAGGTCATTTATTGCCTTATTTAGTTTGCAAATGTGATTAGGAAACGTGGAGTGTTAGAGACCCGCGTTGATTTGGTTGTGACCAATCATGGACAGTGGTGGTAGCCCATAGTGTGGGTTTAAAAATTCCGAACTTTCCACAGTTGATCATATGATGAAAGTTCTATACTAGCAGGTGAGTCGGGTCTGGCGAGGCCACTACATAGTCTAATAAGCCACAATCACGATCTTACTTACTATTTTAAACAATTTTCATTAATCTTCACGATTCTTATCAAAATTTTCGTGGACATCGATATTAACACATAAACGTTACTAATATTTTGTAGATACGATAATAGAAATCGATATTAACACATAAACGTTACTAATATTTTGTAGATACGATAATAAAAATGACTCAATTATAGGATATAGCTTAATTAAGTTATATAATTAATGTTTCATTTATTAATTCAATCAATTCTTATTAATATCCTCTGTAATTTTCATAACTTTTCTTTTAGATTTCCAAAACATTGATATTTACATATATTACTTATATTTCTATATATGAGAATTAAAAATGGTAAATTTCAACTTAATTTAGCCCCAACTAAAGTTTTTTTTCCAAATAATTTCCAATATTTTTCATGATTTTTATGATTTTCTCGAAATTTCCATCGGCATCTATCAAATTGAGACCTCGACATTTCGACAATATCAACCTTTCGAATCTTGATTGAGATATGTTGATAAGCATTTACAAACACTAGTTAGAATCACGTGTATTTGCATGTGATTTAAAAATTTTGGGACGTATTTTCTTTTTTTTTTTTGTAAAATTTCAAATTTGAATGAATATACTTTTCGTTGAGGTTAAATATTATTTTTTTTACATCAATTTAAAAAGAAACAAAAATGAGAAAATGATAGAGAACATATAGATAATTAAAATTTAATTACATAGATTGCCGTTCAAATGAAAGTTGTTAAGTAAAATTGTTACCTGGTTAATTGTTTGATCTTTTGTGAATGGTTTGATTTACAAAGAAAGTAAAATAAATATATTTAATAATTATTATATAAGTTAAATAAAAAAAAATTAAAGAAGTATATAATAAATTAAATTTGGATTAAATAAGAATCTCAGATAATTTTGATTTGCATTTTGAAAAGAATTATGAATTAAATTTAAAAAATAATTGAGATTGTGAGATTAAGTGATAATTTATGAGATGAGGTATTTGACCGTGTAATCCTAAATGTTGGTGGAAGTAAGAATGTACTAAGTATTTGACTCTACTACCACGTGCTATGTACGTATGATTTTTCAATTCAATATTATATTATATTAACATAGTAAAAGATTTATAAAAAATCATTATTTATTGAAAAAAAGAACGGCGAAAAGAAAGCACTTCTATAAATTAATAGAATATTAATGTATCTTGAATTTCAATGGTGAAATAACGGTGGAAGAAAACTTCAGTTTGTAGTTCCAGAAAGTATAAAAGTTGTAATCCTTTTGAAATTTCTCGATTAAAGCTCTATAATTAAAGATAAAAATTTTAAAAGTGAAATAGAATAATTTTCTATTTAATATTTTTAAATTCCATACATTAATAAACTTTTTTTAGCACCATACGTTAATAAACTTAATGATACATTTAAATTTTCATCTATTCAAAGTTAAATTTTAAAAAATTATATTCCACTTAATAAAAATAATTTTTCTATTTAACATTTTTAAATTCCATACATTAATAAACTTTTTTTTAGCACCATACATTAATAAACTTAATGATACATTTAAATTTTCATCTATTCAAAGATAAATTTAAAAAAATTATATTTCACTTAATAAATTTTTTTATTGAATTTGTAGTATAATTGCATTATGAACTTAGCAAAATTTTTTAGAAACAAAATACGCATAATATTTTTAAAAGTTAATGGTACTTATTATTATTATTATTTAGTATGTAGGGGTGGGGATCGAACTCACAACCTCTTGGTTAGAGATTATGCCAATTACCGTTGAGTTATGCTCACTTTGACTTAATGGTACTTATTTGAATCCATATTATATTCATTTATGTATTTAATTAATAATTATAGTACATTATATACATGTAGGAGATAAATAAGTTGTATGATTTCAACCTTCCATTTTTTATTTTAATTAAATATAAAATCATAAATTATTAGATGTAAATAAGCCAAACTTTTCATATTCAACCTCTTCGTATTCATAACTTTCACATTATTATTAATAAAAGTTATTAAAAACAAAAAAAAATGGCATGTTTAGTAAATTTGAAAATTGATAAAGGGACATCCTGGTTTCCAATTAGGTCGTTCCATCCAGGGTCTTACTCTCGGCTTCCCGCCTATACCGACTCTTTCTCTCTTTCTTTTCTCTCTCATGGAGTAAACTCCTCTCTGAATCTGGGGGTGGAGGAGAAGATGGATCTAACATCTCTCTAAGGTTATATTCTTTCCTTTTGATTCTTAACCTATATACTAAATAAATCCAATTTAGGAATCTTTCTTATTCAATCTCTTGATAAAATCTAGCTATCCATTCTCTAGAAATCATGATAAAGGCGTGGTTAACCTTCATGATTGAGAATTTATAGTTAGGTGATATGAAGATGATTGAATATAGATCGATTGATCGAAGAATTCGATTTATTTAAGAGATAGATTATTATCAAAATAAAAGATTATGAGCTTAGTAAGATCTTATTTCCATCTCCTAGAAATCTCCAGATTCCCTTTTCCCCCTCTTATGCTCTCTAAGCTCCTTTCGAAAATCTCTCCCCATTCCCAGCCAGTCGTCGATACAACTTTTTCTTCCTCCTCCTCTTCTACCAAGCAAAAATCAGAAGATGATTTTTCAAAGATTTTAGCTGAGCATAATTCAGCTGAAGCCCATCTGGCTAAAGTTGAAAATCGCCTCAAGAATTGGTCTATCCCCAAGATAGATCCAAACCAGGTATACAAAATAAATACTTTCAATTTCTCCCAGTAGGATGTTATTATTATCACCGAGGAGAACGTGGCCACGAATGATGAATTCACGGAGATCACCCTTCTCCCTGAAGAAACTCTCTTCAAAGTCAGGAACAAATTCAAATACCTCCATATAGGATGCGTTCAAGTGGCTTTGAAGCCTCTCTTCAGAGAAGGCCTAGATGTCCCAGTCTATCTCGCCCTACGAGATAAGAGGCATCTTAACTTCACTCCCTCTGTGCTAGGGATCGTCGAATCAAATCTGGTTCAAGGACCAGTTTACTTCAACTGCAAACCAGGACTTACCGTCTCCCTTCAAGACAAGAACATTATGGACGTACTATGTCTAGATGTTCATTCCGAAGGACTGGAGCTAAAAGACGGATCTCTTCCGTTTGCTGTTTCATACCGCATCTATTACAAATTGATGCATACCAACCTTTCTTCAAAAGCACTTGGTGTCTCTCCAAAAGGTTACACCATGCTAATGGAAGTCAATCTCGAAAAATCTTCGATGACCATTCCGAAGATGCTTCGATGGGATGAAATCTCTAGACACACTGTCTGGAGACTTCAAGGAGTATCAGCCCCCCTAGAAGGACTAATACGGAGACATCAA